TATTTGTCTCGTTGTCACCGTGCATTAAACTTTCCAACCTCGTGTATTAAAGAACCAGCAGCCTTTGACGTAAAACCCGGTGGTTAACCTGCGGTTTCCACATTAATCTAGGGGAAGACGAAACTGGATACGGACGGACGCAATATCTTAATCATCAGTAAACCCTTGCGGAAAATAATACATATTGATTAATACGTGGGGTTATTCATGATTTTTTTTTTAAGTTTCTAAAAGGATATTGGAAATGTCGATTTCATTTCTCTGACGAAATTAGGTTCGCATGCATTTTACATACGGACCTCGAGATTATTTGCAAGCAAGACGAGTAATTTTGCGATTTAAAAATGGGTAATGACACACATGATTCATGAATTTTGGCCCGTATATAATGTGCTCTCTGAACTTTTAATTTTTTAATGTAGTATCTAAATTTTTAGCATAATATTCAATGTAATCCCTGAACTTTTAATTTGTTTAATGTGATCTTTAAATTTTCAATACATGTTCAATGTAGTCTTTGAACTACGTGAAAATATTCAACGTAATTCATGATCTTATGAAAGGACTAAATTTAGGAACTACATTGAACATGTATTAAAAATTTAGAGACTATATCGAAAAAAATTAAAAAAATCAGATATCACATTGAATATTAGATCAAAATCCACTAACTATTTTTGTAATTTCCATATTAAAAAACGATGGTCGATCCGTCGGAGTAAGGGAAGGCGATCCTAGGATAACTGAAAAGCAGGGGATCGCATCCTCGAGCTACGTGGCATGCCCTGGAAGGACGCAGCAATAGCGAGGCAACGCGTGTCCCTTTGTACCGGAAACGTGGCGCGGGACGGCGAGGCCGAGGTGGGAGGAGGGCCGTCGCGAGTTCCGACGACACACGTGTACGCCAGCCCGGGCTCGGGCGGTCGCGTACGGGGCAGGGGGGGGTCAGGTCAGCCCTGCTCTGCCTTGCTGCCGCTCTGCCCGCACTACGAGGGCAGCATCCGTCATCCTGTGAGCTACACGCTGCAGACAGGGGGCGGACGGGGATGGAACAGAACAGTACGGTTCATGAGGCCTTCGCCTTTTTTGTACAATGCGCTCCGGTTCTTTTGTCCGGTTCTCCCGAATTACAAACACGATATTTATTTGTCGAGGAATACCTAGTTGGAGAAAATTTGCTCGTTAGCAATGGAAAATCCCCGACCAAAAAACCGATGTAAAATCGGGCGATTAGGAAAAGATGTGTGTAATCGGAGAACGATCGGTTCCCTCCATTTTGAGTATAGATTATCGATACTATTGTGTCGAGGGAAATTTGAAATTTTTATATTTAACGGTAAAATAATTGTACAATTGTTTGTTTGAGACCCAAAAAAAAATCATAATGATTTTTCATGTTACCAATTGCATAACCCTTTATTTCATTATAAACCTTAGCCGCATTTATAATAGAATTTATAATCGGTTCCTGATCCGGAGAGGCTATTATAATGGCAAGTTTATGTCCTTATCGATCGACTGGTTTTTGCATGACTTAAAAACCAATCCTTTTCGTGCGGAACTCGTTATGAATCATGACCGATAAAATCAGAAGAAAACTTGAAATTTTGCTTCAGCAAAATAGCCAAAAGATCTTTATTAGTATTATTATTGCTATTATATTTTTGGTCAGAGCTAAAGATCTTTTATTTGTAGAGCGCGACAGGGGGAGAGGGGACCTATAGATAGAAATGGAAACGCCAATGATGGGGAGCCCACGCCATCATCATCAACGACTGGCGGTGGGCCCCCCCGGCTACCGTCGATGGGTTTTGATTGCGGGTGGGGCCCCCGGCGACAAGTTGGCGGGGAGGAAAACGACAAAAGGAATCCGGGAGGAAAAGCGAGGGCAGTGACGTTGAACCGGGGGGGGGGGGGGAAGGAAGGTGTTTGCTTCCTTCGTTTTCCTATTATTATTATTATTTTTTTTTTAATTATGTTTTTCATTTTCCTTTTTTTTTGTTTCTTTTTTTTTGGGAGCGAGCGCGAGCGAGATTGCGATTGCGATTGCGATTGCGAAAACCGTGGATTTTGGGAAATCGGACATCGTCGTCGAGGCGTAGTAAAGACGTGCGAAAGCGAGGAGTTGGCGCGTGCGCCTCAACCTCCTCCGTGGAAAAATATATCGCCTGCTTCGTGATATTTTAAAAGAGACTTTTCGCTTTACGATTTTTTTAATCGTAACGTAAAAAAATTAAATAAGTTAATCGGTCGAGTCGAAATTATGTTCGGGAAAGAATTTCGAGACTCGCGTAAAAGTTGATATTTTCTTTTTAAAGAAAAAAATTAAAATTAAATTATCACTCAAGGTAAAGCTGTGTTTTTTTTTTTTGAATTAGCTCCAAATTACATCACGCGCGAAGTGAAAATTCGAGCTCGAATTATTAATGGGCTCGTGCCAAAAAGCGCTGGAGATTTGGTACGAATTAACAGTTTTCTTCATTTTCTCTTTTTTTTGGGGGGGGCTGTTTAAATGAGAATTATTAATCAGTAGGAAAAGAGGAGGAGGTGCCAGAGAGTTCCGAAACCAAAACAGGCAGAAAACATAGCAGGTGAAGAAAACACTCGGCAACTCCCGTCACCCCCTTCACGTGGAGCGGAGGACGTTTCCAGAGTTGTTCGACTTTAAAGCTTATTTGAATATAAATTTTAAATACGGTCTTCTGAATCCCCCAGTAAAATTTAATTAAATTAAAGGGTTTTTTTTAACCATCACGTGGTAGACATTTATTAACAGGTAAAAGCTGCCAAATCTCCTAAATTATGTCACCGTGACATATTTAATCTAAACTCTTTTTTTTTTTGCGACACCAAAAACCCCGAACTTGTATCTATGTAACACATATATCCCAAACTTGTACAGTGTGAGACCCGAACTTTTTCTTGTGGCACAAAAAACTCCAAACTTGTATCCATGTGACATATCTGCCCAAATAATTTAAATGTCACGAATTATTTTTTTTGAGGTTTTTGATCTCACAAAAAATGCGGCAAATGTGTCGCGCAAGTATAAGTTTGGGATTTTTGGCGTCACAAGAAAAAGTACGAGATAAATGTGTCACACTGTACAAGTTTTGGATTTTTGGTGTTGCAAAAAATAATTTTGGATGAATGTGTAACAATAGACAAAGTTTAGAAAGTTTTTGTGATTTTTTCTCTTTATTAATTGACTAAATAAGGGAGTTTGTTGCTTCTAATGTGTCGTGTGTAAGAGTGCATTGGAAATCGAAACATTTTGAGCTCGATAAGCGGAGGTTCCTAGACCACACGTTAACAAAAATCATGAAGCAAATATGGGCGAAAAGCCTTCGAGCAATAATAACATGGAAAAAGTCCGAATTGTAAAAGAAAAGTTATTAAATTTAGTGACTTTGGGACCAGTTGACTTGGCACTTCATGATTGTTCGTTTCGTACGCGTGAGGACCTTGGCTAAAATGAAACTCTGAACAACGTGTTCGTTTCATACATGATTTTTATCGCATTACATGTAATCGATATCCTTACAATTAATTTTTTAAATTAAATATAATTAACGAGTGTTGCCAGAACCTCGGTCGTAATACCATCATGATAATGACACGAATAGTTCTTGAACTTTAGCTCAATGCCCAATGCGGTCCCTCAATTTTAGCTTAATGTTCAATATAGTCTATAAACTTTTACTTTGTTCAATATGATCCATAAACATTGAACATTTTCATATAGTTGGTATATTGCATTGAATACGTACCAAAAGTTTAGAGAAGACATTGAATAAATTAAAAATTCGAAAATCACATTACACGTTGGATTAAAATTTAAGAATTATATTAAATAAATTTAAAAAATTTAAAAATAAATTATTTATTGGGTTAGAATTCGGGGATTGTTTATGTCTTTTTCCCTATTTTGGACGTATGAGCTGAATCGCACAGTTCAAAAAAAAGAAAGAGAGTTGTAATCGTGACGGCGACGCGCAACGTACGAGCGTGGGACCAGCTCGAGTCATTTGAGTTAGACCGAAGTTGCAGCGGACGACTTCAGAGTGGCGAGCCCCGCGCGTGTGGTGGTGGGGAAGTGGGGGGGACCACCTCGCCGATCTGACAGATCCGAGCCGTCCATTTCAATTCCTGCGAAAACGAGGCGAGAGCATCCGATTCCCCTCGTTGCCCTCCGCTTGACCCTCAAACTACGTAATTGCCACTCCCGATATTTCTCGCAAACGGAGTGTCGTGGACGAACCGTTTTTCCCGAGATTGAGAAAGCGTCGACAGAGAAAGAGGAAAAGGAGAGAGAGCTTTCGATGGACCATGACTATTTATGACTATTTACAATTTTACAAGTTAAGGAAAAATCTATAAAACCACTTTAATCTATGAGAAATTGTAGCACACGTTATGAAAATTTTACAATAAGATGGCCATTTTGTACCGAGTTGATGCTCCGGTCACGTTTTGCTGAATAAAATATGTATTGGTCTGTTGTTGTATTTATGCAAAAAGGTATGCCGCAATTTCCGACCGTCGTTCATAAACGGTCTCGTGCATGTTTGATCTGAAAGAGAGGTATTTGTAATCCTCAAATCGGAGACGGAACGAGACCGCTTGTGCGCGATTTCCTTTTATACTAATCGCGCATCCTCTGTTTTTTCTTTAATTTGTAGTAATGCTACGAGGGTCTCTTCGTAGGAAGCCTGTGTTTTGATGGTATCACTATGAAGTGAGTGCGTTTATCTCTCTTTCGAAAAACGAACGAACTCTGCGTATCTAGGAAATTGCTTTTAAGTTTGCGAATGAATGACGGTACGAAACAAAAATTTCTTGGTCAACTGTCTGTTCTCTCGCTGTCCGACGTCGCCCGAGTGGCATTCTCGCAATTCGGAAGAAGTCGCGAGGCTGAATTATTATTAATAAAAAAAAATTTGGTCGAACGAGGCTGAATTATTAGAGCGCAAACGTTGGTTTGGATGCGCAGGTATTTTTCAGCCAATTGATTCGCCTCTGCTACGTCTTCTCGAAACCTGCCGTTGTTTTCCTTTCCCTCTCCCACTCTCTCTCTCTCTCTCTCCTCGGTTCTCACCAACCTCTCTTTATAAGCATCTCCTCCTCCGCTCCTCCCTTTCCCCATCTCTCTCCCTCTCTAAGCAGCAAGAAGCACTACTGCACTGCACTGCACTGCAAAGGACGAGACTGGCTCTGAAACTGAAACCCATAGTCACCATGGACTCTGCGGCCGTGAGGAGACCCTGTTTCATCGAGGAGGACGACGGGCTGGCCTCCCTGGCCGATATGGAGGCCGGGGTCTCCGGGAAGCAATGCCACTCCTTCGTCTCCCGCCCCCTCTGCTCCGCCAGGAGCGGCTTCCGGAACGTCTCCTCCGCCTACTCCGTGGCGTCCCCGAGATCTTCTTCCAGGTTCTACGATGCCAGATTCGAGGATCACCACCGGCCCCATTTCCTGGAGTCCTGTTTCCTCTGCAAGAAGCCGCTCGGGAGTAACAGGGACATCTTCATGTACAGGTCGGTTGAATTTTCTCGCTGCTCTTTTTGCCTTTTCTCTATCTCCTGGTTTGTGGAGCCGAAGTGATTGTTGATTTGACCCATGAAAAGTTTTCTGCTAGTACTGATTAGTGTTGGAGAAGAAAGTCCCGGACAGATCTGGCGATTGTGATTTTTTTGGGAAAGTCTTTTTATGACTTGATTTTCCGACTTCATTAGCAAATACTTTCGATTTATTCCCGGGGCTTCCGTCAGTCTTTTTTGGTCTGATTTATGAAGGTGGCGTGTCTGATATGAGTTTGTTCCGTGGTGTTTCTTGCAGAGGGGACACCCCATTTTGCAGCGAAGAGTGCCGGCAAGAGCAAATAGAGACCGACGAGGCCAAGGAGAACTGGAACCTCTCCTCCTCCATGAAGGCTCTGAGGAAGAAGAAGGACCAGAGGAAATCGACCTCTCCAACCAAAGCTCAGGGCTACACGTTCCATGCGGGCACCGTCGCGGCTGCTTAGAAATCAAGACATCGCTTATTTGCGCGCTTAATAATTACATAAAATATATATGAACACGAAACTACTTCACATGAACCAACCCATGTCGCACAAAGACGAGATCTTTGGTTCTGGGTATGTGGCTGACTGACCGAGGAGGGCCAAGGAGAGTATAGCAGGAGGAGGAGATCGACGATGATGACCCGACAAAGCAGCCCAAAAATGGAAATGAAAGGAAGATGAGTAAAGAGAAAAAGGGACCCATTTTGATGTTTTGTTTTCTCGATTGTGGGTGTATAATTTTCAGGGGATGATGTGAGATATACAGAGAGGTTGTGGTTGGGGGTCGTGGTTGTGGTGTTCTGGGAACGTGCTCAATGAGATGGCTCTGGTTTTGGCTTTTGGTTCTTCTTTTTTCGCTTTCTGTTTTCTCGGTTCCTTGTGTAATTTTTGTTCTACTTTACATGAGAAATGAAGAGGCTCCAGCTTTTAGTTTTCGGTTCGGTTCAGTGGGAGTGAAAAACCGAGTTATTGAATCAAACGGGTGGGGGAGTTTTTTTTCTGCGAACAGTGAGCCCTGCTCTGTCAATCAGACGTTGTTCATGGGTTTTGGGCCTTTCTCGATTGTGGGTGTGTAATTTTGAGGGGGATGGTGTGATATACAGAGAGGTTGAGGTTGAGGTTGAGGGTCGTGGTTGTGGTGTTCTGGGAAACACGCGCTCGATGAGATGGCTCTGGTTTGGGGCTTTTGGTTCTTCCTTTTTCGCTCTCTTTTTTCTCGGTTCCTTGTATAAGTTTTGTTATGCTGCTCCTGCTTTACGAGAGAAATGAAGAGGCTCCAGCTTTAACTTTCAGTTCAGTTTAGTTCATTGGAGTAAAAAATGAGACATTTAATCAAACAGGTGGGGATTTTTTTTCTTCCTGCGAGCACGGAGCCCTGCTCTGTCAATCAGACAGCGTTCATGGTTTTTTGGCCCACCTATTTGAGTGTTGAAACATCAGTTTCTTGACTTCCGTGGTGGAGGGAGAGAGGAGGAGAAAAGTCATTATGGTTGTATGAACCATGTAAATCGAAATCGTCATGAGCATTCACTAGGTGGACCTCGGCCATAGAACGTTCCGAAGTAGAGGATGATCTCAGCTCTCCTGCTGGCAGCCACTCCTCAAAAGGAGTGGGTTTATATTTTACAAATTTTAATGTTTGATTTTATTGTGTGCAAAATGTTAGATATTTTGTAATATATATATAATATATCTAAAGGCAAATAAATGTTTAGAAAATCATATATGCGTTTTTTTTTTTGTAAATTTTTTAGAATTCTTTTTGGATTTTTTTAGTTTGGGACGGGGAATGAGAATTGCAAGTAGGAAATTAATTTAGCTGTTTCACGTTTGGGCTCCCAAACAACCTACGGGCAGATCAGATTGAGCAGGGCATAACAGGCCAATGCCTTGCGAGGCCCATGATCAGCTTTTGCCTCTGTTTCGTCACGAAAACTCGTTGTGCGCAGAAGAATAAAGCGCTCGATTGGGCCGAACTCTTTGTGACGTTTCTGATTTCCTTGGAGTTCGTCCCGGAATGAATATATATTTTCTTTGAAATTGATCACTCACGTGTTACGTCTCCCACAAGAACGAGTGAACAAAAAGTATATTCGTTGTCGACGGAAATGTTTAGACGTACATTGTTGCTGATAAGGGAATATTTTTCATTAATTAATTTTTTTAAAGATATAAGGGCAATCATCTTTAGAGAAATATTCTCAAGACATTTATCTTCTGCAAAATAGATGCATCCTCAAAGTCTCTATGGCGACTGTTACTGAACTTTGTCTAAATTTTTTTTGTGAGCATGCACTGCGTATTTTGTAAAGTTGAATACATATGTAAAAAGAGAAAACAATAGATTGAGAGTGGTCCAAAACGCAAAATGGTGGTTGCTTTTCGAGTAGGTGAAAAGAATGAGAGAGTAATTATTTGTTGAGTGGCATGTAAGGGCGCGAATGAAAATCAATTTGTTCATATGCTTAATTTTTGGCCCGAAATAGATTTTTCTGTTTCGATTCCCTTGATAAGTTTTCGAGTAGAAAGTAACGTTTGATAACGATACAAAATTTCCATTCTTCGAACAAAAATTTGTTTAATAGCTTCGATGTAGAATTTGTACATCGGCTGGTCATGATGGCGGGCAGCGGTGAGCTATAAGAAGAATTGTTATTTCTATTTATGTTCAAAAAATAGAAAAGTAGAAAGCAAAACATATTGCTACCGCTTCAATAACTAGAACCAAACATCTATATAAAATTAAGAAAAATAATACAAAGAATGAAAATGAGTGGCGACTCAATGAGTGAGAATTGTATATATTGGAGGACAACTTTGGAAAATAAAAAAACGAACAAACGACTCTTTTGGCTTGAAATATACTATTTAGGGTTAAGGCACGTGATATGCTGTCGTGCGCGTAATTAGGTAATTATGCATAGAAAGAAATGAGCACTTATGTGTAATAGGCGGGTCCAAACATCTATATAATGAGCACTAGTCGACCCTCACAATGGCCGGTAAGGGCTTGGGTGAAGGCCATGACGCCCTCGTCGGCCAAAGCGAGGGCGTGCAGCCCCTCGTCTAGGGCGAGACCGTGATGCCAAGTAAGGGTGAGCATGATTCCAGTGTAGAACCTGGAACCTTAAAACTTAATTGATGGTAACATATAGGTTCAATGTTCCAAAATATGTATGGTAGATTTCAGGTTTCAAAAATTGGGATATCTGTTTCGATGGACAGGTTCCAGGTTTAACATGTTTTTTGTATTTTTTCTTGGTTAATGTCTTTGCGTGATTCTGCGGTGTTTCATGGCGTTAGATGAATGAGTGTATAATTTGGAATCACTAGTTTCTTTCATTATATGACTTGTTAATGTTTCATATTCTTTGTGTCTCTAAATATAAGTTATGGTCAATGGATTGTGGCAACAAATGATGGTCATTAAATGTGGTGATTCACTGCAATTGTTCAATTAGTAATATAAGCGGAACCTGGACAGACCTTATAATCGACCTTAGTAGGTTTCAAGTTCCAAGGTACGAAGAGTTGGTTCCCTGTTCCAAAAAATGAGGAACTTGTTCTCATGGATAGGTTTCAGGTGCAACTTGTACGAAACTTGGATTGGAACCTGGAACTACTCATTCCTAATGTCTAGATTAGGTGAAGGCGTTGCGGTCCTTGCCCAAATCCGGTGAGGGTCAGGACATCCTCGCCTGTGGCCGGCGAGGTTTGGCCGGCCCTCAGTAAAAAATAAAGGCAAAGAAAAGAAAAAAAAACAAAAAAATATAAAAAAATGTCTACATAAGTACCAGAAAAATGCCACGTAGGACGGCCAACGTAAATGTTGGTGATTTTCGATCAAAATTGGCCGGATGGACTCAATTGGCAAAATGTGAGAATGTTTACGATTAAATTAGCACGATTGAAAAATTTACGATTGAATTAGCACAAATATTATAGTTTTAGAACTTTTTTGGTAATTTCCTTCAAGAAAGAAAAGAAGGGTAATTTGGAAAATATGTATTTTCATTTTGGTGGATATGGATATAAATGAAAGATTTAGAAGGCGGAAGAAGATGCATATGTAAAGCCATTTATCAATTCTCGAAAAGGAAAGAGAAGTCTTTAAAATAGGGAAAGAAATCACAAAAAACCTCAAATTATGATTACTGTGATATGCCCGAATTATTTTTTGTGACGTAAAAAATCATAAATTATATTCACGGTGATACATTTACCCTAAACTTTATTCTTAAATTTGTACTTATATGACATATTTATGATTTTCTAATCAAGATACCGTTGTTTTTATTATATTTAAGTTACATAGGCGTTTCTATGTCAATTATCGGTTTACTTTCCGACATCCGGGTAGGTAGATTACTGACTGTTCTTACTGATGTCCATGTAAGATAGTTTGGGAGTTTTATTGGATTTTCCTTTCAAAATAGAAAGACGGGATTATACATAAAAGCTCCAGAATTTTCCTTCCCTCCTCAGTTGGCGCCACGATTCATCCCGCCCGCCGCCTCCGGATCGCGTCCCATTTCCGAAAAGGCCCAAAAAAAGGAAAAAGGGGCCGACGTCAGCGCCGTATCCACTTCAGCAAAATACGGTGAATCGATCTCATCGACAACCAATCTCCGTGGACCAATAGGGATCCTCCCGCTCCGCGCCTTGCTCCCACGTGGCAAGCTCCCGACGGGAGCCCGCACCCGGCAGCCGGGAGGTTGCGTCGCAGCTGATCGCTCCGCCGCTCTCACCTGCCAGTCCGGTCCACCACCGAGGCCCGCCGCTGCAGACGTGGCCATCAAGACACGAATATCTCTCTCTCTCGCTCCTTCTCCGTTTCTGCAGAGGACTCCACCGCCTTCGACCTCGCCGCTGCCGGCGAATGTGCGCCTCTCTCTCTCTCTCTCTGCGTGCCATCTATGTCTGCTCACCCCAATCCTCGCGATCGAGCTGCTTTCGATTCGATCGGAGACGGTCACGATTGAGCTGAACAAGAGGGGGGGGAGGAGGAGGAAAAGATGTTGGAGGATCAGGTCGCGAACCTCCTGCAGAGGTACCTGGGGAATTACGTGAGGGGGCTCAACAAGGAAGCTCTCAAGATCAGCGTCTGGAAAGGTAACGACGATCCCCTCTCTCTCTCCCCGCATGCTCCGCTTGCTGTTCTTGTGTTTCGAGTGTGGCGGCGGCGATCGGTTTCGGTCGTGGGCGTGTGTGGGAGGAGAGGTAGCGAATTCAATGCCCCTGGAATTTGTCCATTATCGATCGTCTAACTTCGTGAAGTGTGTTCTGGGGTGTGTGGACATGGAATGTGTGCTATTAGGAAATTGGATATGGTTGGGTTCTGTGCGTGTCGGACGAGTTTCCAGTATCGAAGTTGTTGCTTGCAGGCCGCCCGCAGACGGGTAGCGCTTATCCGTCCAAGTTTTGGGCTACGATGGTTTTGCTCACGTACTGTCGGTTTATGTCTTGAGGTGCTGTATTGTGGCTTATCCATTTACTGAATTTGATAGGCCTCTGATTTTTGGAGATGGGTTCTGGAGTTCATTCTTTGATGTAATTTATAATGATAGCGTTGAGTCTACCACTTGTCGTGACTCTTGCAGGGTTGCCTTGGGCTAGAGTAGTGTTTGCTTAGCACATTTTTGAGGTGGGTTGGGGGGGTGGGGGGAGGGACTTTGCAGCTGCATTAGGACCATTCAATTTATTTTGCTCACTCAGCTTCACTTTTGCCTGACATATTTTGAGGTTTTCCTGCTGTTAAAGCGCATGTGTCATCCCGCAAGGTTTGAAATGTCACGAAACAACCCCGCAATATGTATGTAGCATATTTTTTTTTGTTTATACTCTCCCCTCATGTGTAAGTCAAACTCTACATAAGCACCACATCGGCTGGATGACTGGAGATTGAACATAATAGCATGAAACTAACAAAGTTAT